GGACAACCTTGTTATGAAAGGCACTATATAAAAATAAATTGAATTGAACCTGCCCCCATTTCCAAACGAGGGTTACTCACAGGAAGCTCCTGAACGGTACACCCAGTGAAGACATTTGCTCCGAGTACATGTGGAGCTCTGAGTCCAGAGGTATGAGCCCACAACCATGTCATTTCATTAGCAGACCAGGACCATGATTCTTTCGGATCTTGGTGAAACAGTAATTTCATGAGAGCCTGCGAGCTCTCAGTAATGAGAAACAATACTCTGCCAATTGGAGCACACCGTGTTCACAATCTACAGAACTTCTATATCCTTTTTTAACCCCAACTCAGGCCACAAGGGGAGGCAAAAGTCTGGCTCAGGGCTGATTGCTGTAATTTCTAAACATGTCCTGATCTTTAGAAACATTCAAATTTGTTCTGTTATTAACTGAGAAAAAAATGCAAGTGTTTATTACAACAGCCAACAAACCTCACTAACCTTACTAAAGTGGAACATGATGAGGACATCACTTTAGGCCAAGACAGCAATTCACATTTCTCAGGGCAGTTTCGATGTTAATGGCAATTCAGTCTGCTCATCAAATTTAGAAGAGAAAATATATAGTTGTGTTATTAGCGTGTATGTCTGAGCATTACTAGTAACTAGGCCCAGAGAAGACCTAAATCTAAAACTTTCTTTGTAGGAAACACAGTTTTGTCCTTGTAGAATTTAGAAAAATGTACTGCTGATGATTATGCATACAAATGACTCGCGTACCTTCATATTGTGCAGTGAAAGACTCATTATAATGCAATTCATCTTTTTCCATGGTCAGTTTATTGTACAGTACATCTTTTTTTCCATTATTAACATTCAAATATTTAATGAGCATTGAAAACAGAAAGGTAGAAAACGCCTGCTGTGTTTCTAACTATTGTTCCCAGCTTTCATTTATGTCACAAGGTACAGAGACCAAGCACCTATCTGTACTCTGACCTTCACACACCTCAAGTCCTCTCCCGAGAGCTGTGCTATCCAGATTTAAAAAAAAAAAACATCAGTAAAACAGAAAGTGAAACAGCTCGTGATGACAAGGTCATTGGAAGAAAACCAGTCTCAAGTTTTCTCGTTTTTAAACAGCTGGAGCAGAAAGGAACTGAAAAGGTTTAGATGTTAATCTCTCCAGCTGACATCTGCTGCCAAAACACATTTCCATCACAGACAGATCTAGAGCCACATAGATACTGAGGGACACACAAGGAGCAGCCTTCTTACGTCCAATGTATTTGTCAAATTATTAGGGCACTGTTCAAGTTCCTTTTTTCTCTCGCAACAGAAATTGAAAAATATAAAAACAACATCAGCTGATGAAATGTAAATGCAAGCTGTTAACTGACAGGGCACTGATTCAGCCCCCAGATTTAAGGCTGTTCTTGACTTTGTATCTCATAAACTAAGTAAGGGGAAGCCTGTGAGGACCTTCATGACTTCTTCGATCTGCATAATCATTCCTTACAAATTTCAACTCACAGTATCGGGGAGTTTTTCCAAATCTATTTCAAACATAGATACCCAGCTTTCACTCCTGAGCAGATACAGTCTGTTGAAAAACAACGGGACAAACATTTTGGAAAAACTACCTTATACTTGAGACGACAAGGAATTCTTATGCTCCATGTATCAAATCAAATCAAGCACAACTATGAAGGTTTATTCATGAAACTCAACTACATCTGCGGGAAACCAAAACAATGAGAACAGTTGTGTTAGTAGGGTTAGCAGCTCATATTCCTGTAAACTTAATAGACGTTCATCCATAATCATCCAGAATCCATAACCTTGCCCTACACATCCTATAACTGTGAGTCATTATTTTTCCAGTGCAATGATGTGCTTAAATATTACCAAGGACTATCTCAGAGAGGTCAGGGAATCAGCTGTTGCACGGTTTTAGAAAGCATGTCATTAAATCTACATAATTAAGGTGAACAAGAGGATCTTCCATTTTCATTGTTTGCTTTAGCCAAATTCTCCACATCTCATCTCCTTCTCCAAGACCTACTTTCTAGATTTCAAGCACATGTTTCCTGACCCATACAAGATCCTTTTTGGGCAAAGGATCCAAAAAGACCAAAAGGGATGCAAAACAAGATTAGTAGGTAAAACAAACATTTGAACTTCACACACAGAATATTAAGCGATGTTGTTTACCTGGGACATGGTACTTACTTCTTGGAATACACTTACAGAAATAAAGATCTGGAATCAACTAAAATCAAATGTCTGTGTGTAGTGCTGACGTTTGCTGCATGACACCTTTTTCAACGGGACACTTCTGTCAGCAAACTAGAACCCAGGTGTTCCAAATAACCATTTATTTCATTATATCACCCTTCACTACATAGTAACAGTGTGGCATACTGACATGATTTTAGGTTTTCTGTGCTTCTATAAATGACAACCAGCAACAACGCATCCTCACTTGAGCACAGAATACAAGCATTGCTTGGGATGGGCTCTGGCTTCATGAACATTTGTGTAGCTCGAAAATCCTTTGGAAAAGCCAAGCGTCAGCTGTATTCTCAAGAATTCACTGCAGGAAGGAAAATGAACTAGGATCTATTTACAGTACCTGCAGATCTGACAAAGTTTAAATTAGGGTGGAATTTTTTTTCAAGCTGTGTTACAGCCTCCAGAAATCCTAAACTTGACACTTTGAAGATATTAGGCTCCTTAGACTGATAGAGGCTCCTTTAAGGCTTTGCCGAGATATATTTCTTCACAAGAAAGGCAGAAACCTTATTTATTTCTTCTTCTATTTTATCATTAGTCCAGTCCATATACCCCATGCACATTTTGAAGATCCTACAATTATCCACAGATCCACTGTTTATACAGCATTGCTCTGCACTGCTATTGTGCCACTGGGCTACATAGATATCGAATTTCTTTTGCTCCATTTTGACTGGTTATGTTTCTTCACCCACATGAACTACTGACCTTTCCAATTCATTGTATTTCTATGACTACTTCGGCCTGTTTGTAAAGTGCATTTTCTTTTGCAACTCTTAAGGACTCTCTTGCAATCAAACACATAAATATACAGTGCCTTGTAGAAGTATGCACACTCTTCCAAAGATGGCCCATTGTGTTGAACTTTCAATGATGTATACACTTTTTAAATTGATGGGTGAAGGAAGTTCAATCTCACCCAAAACCGCGAAGAAAAATAAAAAATTAAAATGTTTATTGTATAAGTATTCTTTCCCCAAGTCAATACTTGGTAAAAACACCTCTCACAGCGATGACAGCTATGATTTTTTTTTTATGTCTCTTAACTTCGCACAACGGAATGGTGCGATTGTTGTCCATTTGCAAACTTGCTCAAGCTCTGTCAAGTTGGTTGGGAAGTCTTGTCACAAATGAACTATTGGATTTAACACAGACGTTTGATTAATCCACGCAAGTGTTTAACAAAGTCCAGGTAAATCAAAAACAAAACAAGTAAGCAACCAGGCCCCCCCAACAGACCAGATCCTGTCTTATCCCTTTTTTACTTCCCTGGTTTCCTGAAGGGAAATACCAAGACCTGCTAGCGATTGTAAGGTCACAAGAGGTGATGTGTCTTATACAGCATCCGGGAATATCATGCCAAGATGCTGTTAAGATACTTGCAAGTATTTGGAAGGCATGTGGTACTTAATAGAACTATAAAGAGAAGCAATGCAGGCCCCCCAAAAAACAGTTAATTCTGCCGTTTTATTCAGGAACTTTATTTTTTGCAAGTCCCAATGTTTTGCAACAGTCCAAAATATGTCATCTATATTCCCCTCAACTCTGATGATACACTCGTATACGCTGGTGCTACACTCCTACTACAAACCGTACACTTGTATACGCTGGTGCTACACTCCTACTACAGACCATTCACCACTCGTATACCGTGATCCTGTATTCATACCGCGATTACTTACACTGAGAGGCTGGTCGTTTCAGGCGGCACACGTAACAATGTCCACGCAGATAAGAGCGTCATCAACCCTGATGTTTCGCTAACTGGACGCAGTGCTGAGTTGCTCCAAGATGGACTGAAATACTGAAACATTTGAATCCAAACCAGAATGGCCTCCTCTTTTCAGACTTATGACGTCCTGCATATAGAAAAATATAACCTCCAGAATGAAACCCGACCTCATTACTGTATAACCTCAATTATTCAATATATTCCCATAACTGAATAGCGGTGATTAACTTAGAGAAGTAGATTACTTGTTTTTAACTATATCACCTACATGGTGCTGTAGAGCTCTGCACACCAGCTCAGGAGGCGAGCAGTTCACTTTCATTTCTGTGGAAATCCACAGGAATAAATACTGAAGCGTCACTTCAGAAATACAAAATACCGCCAGTTACAACCCAGTAAGATGCAATGAAATCTTTTGACCGCTTACTTTTCTGACACTTAATAATGGATATGTTTTTTTAAAAGAAAGAGTAGCAACAAATTCGGTTTTGGCTACTTAACAGCGAGGAAGCTCTACGTAACAAACATTGAGTTTCGATATTAGGGACACAACGGCCATATACAGACGAGCAACCATTGCAAAAGATATGAAACTTGAACATATTCTCTTTTCACTCAATGCGTACTATGCTTTCTCTATACTATAAAGAAATACCGCAGCACCAGCCAACTTTAAGTGACACAATAAAATCTAATGCAAACCTAATAGTTTTCAACCCTTGTAGCAGAAAGTTAAATGACCGACTAATCAAGAGCTTCTGTACGTTGCATACGCGTAAAACACAGGGACATAAATTATGCATTATGTTAAAGTTCATTCTGGCAGAACAGGCCCGACACAGGCTGCACTCACGTCCCCAGCACATAGCCCCGACTGCCCGGACAACCTGGAGACTGCTGCCTTCCAGTGCTCTTACCCGAGGGTCCTCTCTTCAAGCTGATATCTACTACTGTGGGCGCGTTGTGCATCGCTCCGTTCATGCTGACTGAACAACGAGTGCTTAACGCCTTATTAAATATGTATTTTTAGTCCACTAAGCAACTGAAGGTGAACTTATAGTTTCGCATGGAGCCCGCATCTCGCACTCGCTGCTGGGAAATGCGGTTTTTTGCAGCCTTGCGAGGAGCCGGAACGACAGTTCCCAGAATACCCAGAGGTTCTTTCCACGTTCACGAATGCAACTGGTCCCTAATACATTTTAATAAGCCCGTTCAGGTACACGCGAGAACGCATGCAGTTGTGTAAGATGTGATATTGCGTTGAATTAAATCTGCCTTTCTCGCAGCTCCTCATTTATACACATTGTCATAATATATGTGATATTCCACGTAAATGTAGAACATTACTTATGATGCATTTGTATTGTAAATGCTTGTAGATGTATTAATTGTATGTTTTGGTAACACTGAAATTCATTGGTCATCCCAATAAAGCTTCTTGAATTGAATTAATTACCAACGTATGCAAGGTGACGCAGTAAACCGCATCGAATCTAATTTATAAATGATCGTAGAACGAGAAAAACAATGCATATGGATTCATTCCGTATTTGTGTTGTTGTATTTTAGAATCGTCTGCACCACGCAGGGATTTACCTTGATCATCAAAATGTATGTTCTTTCTACCACATTTCCTATACACGTAAACGTCTCTAGCGGAGTTTAAGGCACTTTGTTCTTTTGTACTGGCTGCAATTTCCCTTGCGGAAGTGGCGTTATAGATAGACGAGGAGAGGAGACGGTATCTTGCGGTCCTTGAGGACCATCTTCTTCAGGTCCTTGAGGTCCTGACTATCTGTGGTCATTAAAAATCCCAGGGCGTTTCTCGAAAAGAGTAGGGGTGTAACCCCGGCATCCTGGCCAAATTTCCCATTGCCCCTTACCAATCATGGCCTCCTAATAATCCCCATCTATGAATTGACTTCATCACTCTGTTCTTATCCCCACTGATAACTGATGTGTGGTGAGCATAGTTCTGGCGCACTATGGCTGCCGTCGCATCATCCAGGTGGATGCTGCACATTGGTGGTGGTGGAGGGGAGACCCCATTACCTGTAAAGTGCTTTGATTGGAGTGTCCGAACCATTTGGCGGCAGCAACTCTTGACCCACTTTGGTCCATAACCCCAAGCCTTCTCTTATGTCTAGAACGGTGTCCCCCTAGGCATGATGTCATAATTCTGTCAGTACCTCTCGCCTGCTGCTTGAGTCTGGCTGGCAGTGTACTTATGGGCTGTGGACAGTGGCTCCTGGAACTGTATGGCGTACTCTTGTCCAGCTGTTACTTTAGGGTCATCTGGGGGGCTGGCAAAGGTCTTCTCAAGCAGTGGATTCCTACACTGTGGAATGAAAATTCAGGACAACCAGTGGGAGATGGGTGCCCCTGTGCTTCTGATGAGCTTCTACTACCAAGCACAGTTGGGTTCCCAGAGCACAGTTAAAATACTCGGCAAGGCCATTGCCCGGTCATGGCACAGTCCAAGCCTTCCTTATACCGTGGTCTGGAACACCCAAGTCTCGCACTTCCCTCCTTGGTCATAAGGGACCTCCTGTGGAATCCCAAAGTGGCTGAAGGACCTGTTGAAAAGTTCTTCGCACATCGTCTCTGCTTCTCGGTTTGGAAGGCACTTTCAGCTAGTGTCTGTTGCCTTTAGCACAAAGTGGTTAACTCCATGGTTTCTTGGGAGAGGGCCCGGAATGTTGGTAGATAAGATAAGATCACTTTATTAGCCATATACAATTTCTTGCATTAGGAATTCGTCTTTTTACATACCCCAGCTGGCTTTCCATGAGACACAGACACAGAGAGAAGCTGGGGGGTTAGAGTGCAGGGTCAGCCATTTATAGAGCACCCCTGGAGTAGTGGGGGAGTTAAGGGCCTTGCTCAGGGACCCAGCAGTGTAGGATTCCTCTGCCAGCCATGGGATTTGAACTAGCAACCTTCCAACCACAGGCGCAGATCCTTAGCCACAGTGCCACCACTCCGCCCACTGACAGTCGTTCTCTGCAGAGCTAAACTGACTGGAAACGGTTGCAGGGGAAAACCGAGACTGCTCCTGTGATCTTATTCAGGCTACACAGTCATCACAGAGGCGGCAGTAAGCTTTAACATCTACAGACATGCGGCCCTTAGTAGTAAGCCTGGAGAAGCCGGGAGAGTGTCTTGGTGACCCATCCCAGGGGAACCAGGATGGGCTTCCAGGATCTTGGGTCTCAGGGCAGCCAGAACCACTACCTGCCATAGCATTTCTTTGGAAGTGGGGTGAACCCAGCGCCTTTTTAGTACATCTCAGTGAAATCTCAAGCCTGGCCACTGTGAACAGTGTGCTTTAATAAAGGGAGTTAGTGCTGCCATTTGACCCACGAGGAACGCTTTCCAGTTCTCAGCCACCTTTGGGACAGTTGGAGTTCCAGGTCCAGGCAAATACTCCAGCAGGGTGACTCAGCAGCTTGTAACAGGCAGGGCATCGTGTTCTGCATCCTGCAACTGACAGCACTAGCAGTTGGCACAATTGTCTTCTGCACAAGGTCATCTGGATGGGGCATCTGCATACTGGTGACGTGTCTTAGTGCAGTACCGAGCACTGGTACTTCTGGAGCTTCTTAATCCACTGAGCCACCTGTCCCTCTGTTTCACTGAAAGCCAGCACAGTGCAGAGTGTTCAGTGCGAATGGTGAGTGGTGCTTGAGGAGCTCCACTGCGTCTATCACTGCTAACAGCTACCATGTGGTGACACAGTAATTGCACTGTGCTACGCTGAGGGTGCAGCTTTAATAGGCGACCACCTTCTCCACTCCCTGGCTTTTGAAAGAGGACAGTGCCAATGCCTTCATCACTGGCATTGATGATCAGTGGGATCTAGTGTGCTGGGGCATTACACAGTGCAAGCTTGAGGGGCGTCAAAGTCACACTTATGGTCCTCACTCTAGCTGAATGATGTGAGCTTGTGCAGGGGCACAGCAATGGTGGTGAATTCACCCACGAAGTGACACCTACTTAGGAAAGCTCTGAGGTGTTTCAATTTGCTGTATGTGGGCTGGACTCACTTACCTTATCTTTCTCTGTGGCGCCTCTAGCTTCACTCTCATGGTGGTTTAGGAAAGAGACTTATCGAACTTTTGAGATGAGGAAAAGCAGATATGCTGAGGAAATAAGCTCTGTTGTACGTTCTCAGTTGAAACTAAATTAGCTAACTGCACTTGGAGACATTTGTGAGGGATCACCAAAAGTCAAGTCTGTGTGCTGAATTTGAAAATTCTACATGTAATTAATAAGGAGAAAAATCTCAAAGTATTTATGGACCAAACTGCCTCGAATCTGTTATGTAGAATAGACAGATCATTGATCATCATCAATGCTGTTATGTGTGCAACGCATGCATTCCAAGACCTTATTCACAAAAAACAAATCTTGTAATCATATAACATAATATCCAGATTATTTTAATAAAATATAATAATATTATTATGTATGTGAAAGACTGGCGTCTTAAAGTACGTACAGTACTGTATTACTCGAGTCCTTTTTTCCTTTAACAAATCAAATATACCGAGATGCATTCAGTTACCTGTGCAACGCGACGTGGGGTAGAAGTCACTTGAAGCGCTGGAATGTGCTGCCACCTAGTGGGATGATCAGGTGATGAGCATGGGGTTGAAAGTCGGGAACAACATTTTTTTATTTTCAGAATTTTAAACATAAAAGTTTTAAGTGATCTGAGGTTGTGGAGAGACTGCTCTCGTCTCCTTTTATTACCGAGAACTGTGGTTAGAATAAGGCAGGATACATGACGTCATTCACACCAAAACAAAATTCATGGTAGTAGAAACCAACACCTTTCATTCTGTATCCACTTGCGGACATTGCTCTCCTACAAAATATGGGATTCCCAACTCTGGTTCTGGGAACCCTCACACCTGCTGGTTTTCATGCCGGTCGGGACTTTTAGTTCAACTGAATTTTTAATTCAATTTAAAAGTTAGAGCTGAGAAAGTGTGTCCAATAGCAGTACCCATTCTCTGATTCCATAATGTGCTTTTTATCTTCATGTCTTTTTTCTCTCCCTCACGCCTGATGAAGGTTCAATAGGTGAAAGTTGAGTTTTTTCCCCTCTTTCTGTTTTTCAATAGAAAATATTTTCTAATTACACTCTGTGTGTTCTTATGCAGCAAGCTCGCTCAAGCTGTCCATTCCAGCCTGAAATGACGAGAATTTTGATGTTAGGTTGAAAATTGAAATAGTCTGTCATTGAAAAGGCAAAATTCAAAGAACAACTTCAGAAGACACAGACTCATAGGGACAGTGTATGTCACTTCAGTCTCAAATGGAATTTGGTTGGCATTATACAGTATGTAGGCTAATTCCTGGAGGTGTGTTTATTATTGCATTATTACATCCAATTAGTGAGTCTGAACCAGATTTCTTGAGACATCAAACAAGATTAAAAATGTCCAAGTTACTGTCCAAGTTACTAAATTGTGAAGAGACCATTTGTTGCTGTTGTTCTAAATGAGGTCTCAGATGTATCTAGCAGCCTGTCTTTCATCTGCAATGAATGATAGCAGTGGTGTGGAACTCTTTGTTGAATATTTGAAACAGACTTTCACACCATGTTGATGTGGTGTGCCTCAAATTTAAATATGGCAACAGTTATGATGTGATAATTAAGGATATTTCAGAAACAATTTATATTTTCTCTTTTTACTTTTTGTTTGTTGCTGCAAAGCTGAGAAAAAGATTGAAAACATGAGCCTAACAAACAACATTTAACAGCAACAAATATTGGATACCAATATTGGGTTTTTTTTTTTTCAAATGTGGTCAAGTTCTTGTTTTTGTTCATTTCCAAATTGGTCTGAGCCTCTTGAAAAACTGTGTGGATTTCTTTTAATTAGAGGATTGTACAGATTTTTAATCAACCCCATGGAAAGTTGTGTTAAACATCTAGCAGAAGGGGGATTTCCATCCTTGTTCTCAGCCATGCTTTCTGTCCTCACTTAATAACATAAGACAAGCCACAAACCAGAGGCCATTTTGGCTCATCTAGCTAATTGGTTAGTTAGTGCTTAATCGACTCAAGGCAGTGTTTCAGTTTCTACAACATGGCTGGATGTCTTGTTCCGGATTCCCA